GTGTGACCTCTGGCCTCTGACCTTTGGGCTCGTATTTATCAAACTAAGAGTAAAAATGATGAATTTAAATGAAGTAAAGGATGAAACTTGAATCCTGCGTTTCACTCACAGCTTTAAAACGATAAACTTCTTGCGGCCTCTGTGAGGGGATCGTACATTCAAACTAAAGCCTGTAAACATCTGGCAGCTGTTTCATCATCTGTCAGAGTGAATCTGGTGTTAACTTCATTTACAGTCACTGCGGCAGGTTGCTCCTGACGACCTGGAAGAGAGACGACGCCGTTCAGACCACGTCGCCATGATCTACTCGGGCCCTCCTCAGGTCAACAGCTGCATGTCTTACTGAACCTGTACGGACTGTTCTGGGTCCAGTTTGACCCGATTTGACATGTGACAGCAGTAAAAACACCCCAAACGTCTTTCAGCCTGAAATTTGATGACTTTCCTTAAAAATACACAGAAACTAAACCACTGTCCTCTGATCAAGCAGGAAGAGAAACAAAGACAGAAGCTCAGAAGTTCCAGCTCGTTTCAACGCATCCAGCTCAACCTGAAACCTTTAGTCTGATGAATACGAGCACAGAGCCTGCAGCTGCCGGCGTCGTTTAAATAAAGGTGGGTAGAAACGTGACATCATCCCGTGACGTGGGCAGTCCAGGACGGCCAGTCGGGTCGAAGCCGCCCCGCGGGTCAAAACGGTTCAACAGAAACAGAAGAAAACACCTCAAAATGTACAAAAAAGAAAAACAATCTTTGTGTCATCATGGCGTCAGTCACAGCAGCCCGCTTCCTGGTCCGAACCACACCAACCAATCAGAACAAAGCTCTCAGTATCAGGAAGCGGCGTCAGAATCATTCCCCAAACGAAAAGAAAGAAAGAAAGAAAACAGGAAATCCTCTGGACGTAAAGTGACCGATGCTCTTCCAGTCTTTTGTCTGGTTGTTCCACAGACACGTGAAGCGGCCGACGACGCGGCGGCGGCGGCGGATGTGGTCGCGGTGAGTTTTCAACTTGAATAAATCGATGCGGTGCGAGTGAATCGACTCTGAGCTTCAGCCTCACGCAGGTCCGAGCTGCTGAACTCGGGTTTAAAGGTGAATTCTGGCCTCCGACCCACCAGGTCAGCGATGGAAGAAGTACCGTAATGTCTGGAATATGATAATATTCTTCCACACGCTCTGAACGCTGCAGGTTAAACAACCATGAGGCTCATTTATGGATTTTTGGAGCTCCGACACTGAAGAAGACGACTTTAGTGGTTTTAGTGCAGGAGGAAGATGAAGATAGCCATCAGTGACTTTTCCTGGTAGCTGCTGGAGTTTTATTTCCTTAACCAGCCGTGTTACAGGAAGTGTTCAGAAAAAAGCCTCTACGGTACGTATCTGTGTATGTTACCGCTACGCATTTAATTAAAGGTTAAAACATCTTTCTGTGTAAATATCTCATGTTCCAACGTGGACACCTGCAGCCTGTAGATGTACACACCTGGTTTTAAAGTCAGTGGGCGGGGCTTATATTCAGGTGCTCAATAGTCCGGGATTTACGGTAATTGAATAATTTATATTTTGGTGTCTCAAACTGAATAGTTGTGTAAAAACAAAAGTAATTTGAATGTGGGATTTACTGACTTAGATCTGCTACGTCCATCTCCATCTCCCCGAGACAGACGCCCGACAAGCTGAACCTGCAGAACTCGAGCTGAGTCCGATTCCAAGGAAGTGAGTTTAAACGGATGTGACAGTAAACACAGGGTTGAATATTTAGGATCGGCTGGATTCAAATCGGCTTTTCATTGAAAACAGCGCGACTGCGTCATCGCCAACCGTCTCAGAGCATCTTCAGCTCTCCTGCCTTCAACAAGAACATCCTGGGAACCGAGCGAGAACTGAAGGTATGGGTTGAACTTTCCCAGAACGTTCTGATGATGGGAGCTGTGGTTGGATGTGGAGGCCGGCGCCGGTCCAGGTGGTCGGAGGACGTTTGTAGCTCTGCGTCTTTACAGAAGAACGTGCCACCAGTTAAAAATGAACCAATTAAAATTAAAATATGAATTATCTTTATTTGAATCTGGATTTTCTAACTTGAACCACACGAGTCAAACGTGGGTTTTTCCACACGTGATCAGTAAACCTCTTGTAAACCCGGTTCGCTCGGCGCCTGCGTGGGCTGAAGCAGTAACAGGTGTTAATTAAATATTCATACGTAGCGGTGATCAGACACGATGCCGGTGGACACGAACACTGAACTACGAGTGCTGAGGCGGGTCGGGTCGGGTCGCCCGGAGGCTCGGCCCGCCGTCTTCGTGTCCTGAAGGAGGATTTCTACGCGATTCCTTGGATTCGTAACAAACATGCCGTTTCTCTACGGAGGTTAAAAAATAGCTGCACATCATTTGGTCACTAAGCAACGCTGGCCGACGCCCACAACCCGCTGCTCCTGTGTGTGTGTGTGTGTGTGTGTGTGTGTGTGTGTGTGTGTGTGTGTGTGTGTGTGTGTGTGTGTGCGTGTGTGGCAGTGGCTTCTGCTAAACTGGGAAGAACAAACGAGGAGGAGACGGTTTGATGGCGGCCGATTCCTGACGGTTCGCTGTTTGGAGACGATGACGTCACCACGTGATGCGTCGCCGTCAGAGGGTTAGCGTTAGCATAAACCTCTGCTAACGTCATCACAGGTGAAGGAATGACCGATCCAAACCCGACATGAGTAAAAGCTAATTCAATTCTTACACGCTAGGAGCGGAAGTGTTTGATGTGAAGCGACCTTCAGAACATCTGGAACGACGACGACCACAAACAGTCGTATTAACGCTCATCAGTCGACCCGTTTCCTGACATGAACTCAGAACCTGATGCAGTTTAACGCAGACCTCTGATGAATGTTGGTGTCTAGTCCGGGACCCGTTTGGAGGAACTCAGAGTTCTAATGTCTGGTTCAGTTTTAAAGCTAAAACGTTTGAAGTCTCCTTCGGCTGCCACCAAACCGCCTCCTGGTTTCATTCTTCGGTGCTGGGAAGGAAACGCCGTCGCCGTGACATCATAGCTGGCTGAGCCAATGGGAGCGACCCTTTTTATAGACGGCTAACGGCTGTGAGCGCTGACTGGGGGTCAGCGGGAATGTTGGCTAACGTGGGGCTGCAGAGGGAGGCCCAGGTGGAGCAGACCCAGAGCAGGAGGGACTCCGACGACCGGAGAGAATGACATCACAACGAGACCACCGGGCGGCGCTCTGACCTCGTCCCCTGCAGGTTTCTGATTGGCCGGTCGTCTTGTGTGGGGTGATGAAGCTCTGCGGCGCGCTAAGCTAAACCGGGTGACGCTAATGTGTGCAGCAGAACTCTAAACCCACTCTGTGTCTCTGCAAACCCGAAGCCGCCTCCACGAGCTGTTGATGACGGCGGCGTCCGGCGGCGATGCTCGCCAGCCGCTCGCCGTCCCGCCGGGAGCAGCGGGGGATTGTGGGACGCTCGGTCCCGGCGGCGTCAGAAGAGGCAGACCTTCTTCTTCAGCTCGTTCCTCTTCCAGAAAGAGAGGCGGTCGAAGTCTTCGATGGGCATCCCGAAGACGCTGAAGAACTCCTCCTGGGACAGATGCCTCTGCAGGCGACAGGTCACAGGATTAGCTCCCACCAGCTAACTCGTCATTACTTTAGCTAACTAGTCATTACTTTAAG